CCCTTGAAGAGGCACAAGTAAGCCTCAAATGTTCCTGCTAATCTCTGATACAATTTTAAACATCTAGAGGGCACACAGCAGCGCTAAGACCTTTGTGATTTTCTAAATGTGCAATTCACTTTACTGTACCTTATTTTACAAATGTATATTGTGCCTAAAGACTCATAGCAACTAACAATAGTACTAGCAAAAAATTGTAGAGCCAGACAGTAGCCTGCATATTCTCAGTATAGACAGGAATGTTGTTATGTGCTATTGATTCAGAAACAACCCTAATAGTGTTTTCCAGATAAGTGAGATACTTAAAGGGCCGTTTTACCAGTTACAAGAAAATGCTGCAAAATTTAGCAAGAAGGTGCTGCAGCCACTTTTTTTGGGGGGGTGGAGTACCACTGTCCATCCCTTTGTAGGATTACCAGACCTACGGAGATTCCAGTGGAGCTCAGCCCAGTGGAACAAAGAGAACTGACCATAAGATTAGGCAGCATAAGACAATTTCTCTCACGTGGCAGATGTGCATGTATCAGTGGTAGTCTTTCCACAGCTCCCTGTGACAGTTGGCATTGGAGGACAGAACTCAATATGCAGCATTAACACGCTTAGGAAAAAGTGACATCTTGCCTTCTGTCTCAAGCAGCAAAAGTGTTAGGGCCTGTCCATACCAGCATAGAGATCTATAAGTTGCTGATGACACAATTTGGATCAGGTGGTAGTGGGGGAGACCTCATCTGTAAGTGTTTATTCTTAGAATGATCCATCCTTCCCCTTTAAGAGCTTTTGCACACCTTTCTGGCCCAACAGTATTTCTTTTTTAGCATGGAGAGAGCAGCCCACAGCAGCCTCTGCCATTATAGTTTCAGACTCTGAGGGAAGAAAGAGAAGGGGGGAGCAGGGAGAAGAAAATGGAATGGTACTGATAGAAGGAAAGAGAAGCAACATTTTTTTAAAAAAATCACTTCCTCTGACCCTCGACAATCAGGGGAAGCACTTAAGTGACAGCTGATTGCTGTTCAGCTGGGAGGAGCATGCAAATAGCACATTGTTCCTCCCCCCCAACCCCAACAGACCCTTTGTAGCCCAATCACCCCACACCTGAAGTGACCAGTCTGGACAGGCCCTTAGAAAAGCAGTGCAAAGCAACTAAACCAGCCAACATTATTAACCTGGAATGTCTATGCTGAGGAACAAGGGCATTCTAGCACAGTAAAGATGGCACTGGCTATTACAGTGCAGTGCTGCTCTTCAGAATATTGGGTGACATTTATTTTTTAATGAAATAAAATAAAAATACTTATGGGATCAGTCCTAGTGGGTCCAAACATCTGTCCCTCTGGTAAGGCTAAAAGCATCAACTCTGGCATCCAAGCTGCAGAATCAGTTCTTAAGAAACATGACACTAGGAACTTATGCTTTCAAAGGAATGTGATATCATTCAGTCTGAATCCGATTCTAGATTCGCTATTGAGAACACTCCTGCATTCCTGCAAGTTTGTATTTCAATATTAGCCCACATGCAGACTATTGCCAGCTTTATATAACAGTTCAGAACTTCCGCAGCTTCCACAGAATGTCATGGATTATAAACAAAGCATTATACAAGTGTTTGTGACAACAGCTTTAAATCCCTGAAAATCTTTCTGAACAGTTTCATGTAGGTATGTTTAGAATACTGACCCCCATCACAAGCCCACTATGGGGAAGCAGGAACCCCTCAGTGCCTCCTTCCTGATCTAGGGTGCAAAAACACTAGAAATCTCTGGATTTGATTCGCAGCCTATATTACATTTGAAATCACAAACAATGCTCACACAGAAGCTGCAGATTGATTTGGGAATTCACTATTCATATTGGATGAAACGCAAGTTCCAGCCCACAGCCCTTCTTTCCTTCCTTCCTCTGGTCCCACCTTTTATGGTTCTCTCTGAAACTGCTTTCTCATTTAAAGTATCACACTATTATATTTCTCAAAAACGTTTCTATAGAAAAATAACATGGAAAGGTACTTAACTGTTTAAGAGCAAAGAAAAGCAAAAATATGAACAGTAATGTTGTAAAATACATCATAATAGGTCCTTTTAAGGAGAAAGGTGGGATAAAAATATTTTAAATCCATGAATAAATAATTCATATGTCAGAATGATTCCAATAACAGGGATTACCACCTTCCCCTTCTCATCCATTACCTTTCCCCCTTACTTTCAAGTAACATATGCAATAATGACATCATCTCTGCTTACAGTTTATCATGCCAATAGTTTATATTTAAAACTATATATTGAACAGAGATGAGCTCATTCCTGCACACTTGAAACTGAAGGTAAAGTCACAGATGAAAAGGGAAAGGCAATTTTTAAGATCTGTCAGTTGTAATTTACAACATTAAGCTTTTGCATCATAACAAAAGCCCCTTCCTACACAATCCATTACACTCCTTATTATCAAGTTTTCCGTTGCAAATTCCTTAATCCCAGAAGCTTTCCCTTTTTGGGGGAAAGGGGTGTCCAGATATTCATTCAGCCTTGCAAACCTCAGAACCCTGTAGCAGGAAAAAACAGCTGCAGGTTCGAGATATGGAATGATAAATCAGCAGTTAAGAGTTGAACTCCTCCTACATACTGTTTTTCCAGCGGAGATAAACTTCAGAACCTTGTGGCAGGAAAAAACAGCTGCAGGTTCGAGATATGGAATGATAAATCAGCAGTTAAGAGTTGAACTCCTCCTACATACTGTTTTTCCAGCGGAGATAAACTTCAGAACCTTGTGGCAGGAAAAAACAGCTGCAGGTTCGAGATATGGAATGATAAATCAGCAGTTAAGAGTTGAACTCCTACATACTGTTTTTCCAGCGGAATATACTACTTTCCGTGTACCATCTTGCTCTGTGATATCTAGGCCTGCTTTTTATAATCTAATATTACCCTATGACACAGAAGTAGAATAAAGCCTTAAATTGGGGTAAGTCATAAATTGGGCTACCATATTTTTCCATGTATAAGACACCACTTTTTCCTAAAATAATTACAGTAAAAATTGAGGGGTGTCTTTTACATGGAAGTAAGCTTAGATAGCTGAGGAGAACAAAACAGCCCATATCTTGCCTCTGTAAACAGGATTCCCTCAGTCACAAGGCTTAGCTTCCTCCAGTCAGCAGACTTGGCTTCCTCCAATCATGAGCCTTATGGAACTGATGTCAGCTGATGCTGTACAAACCAATTGGAACACACCTCATTGGAGGTGGAGCCTGTAGGCTCAGATTCAACAGGAACTCCTAATGTCCAACATTCTGAGCCCAGAAGCTGAATACTCAAAGCTAAGTTTTCTTAATTTGGAGGTTAGAAAAATGGGAGGGTCTCTTATAAAAAGGGTGTGTTATAAACGGGAAAATATGGTATATCGGGTTTTATTATGTGTACATCTGAAATGATTCCCATATTCCCCTCCCTTTCTTAAACTAATTGACAGAACAAGGAACTTTTTATATTACAGAGGTAACAAATTCATATTATGGCTCACCTGGTAGTCTGGTTAAGTTACAAGAAACAAGTATAATGGTAATATTCATACATATTATTGCTGGTGACAACTGTTATTATTTCTGGCTGGGAAGCTTTGCTTGTTGCAAAATAACCAACCATTCTAGCTTTCATATCTTCGCTACACAGGATAGAACATCCAGTTTGTTTCAAGATTTTTTACAGGAGATCCCTGGTAGTTTACACTACTGAAATTTCTGTAGTTGTCCATACCGATAAAATTAGTTATCCCATTACAAAAGTCTATACTACACTTCCTAGCTGGTTCAATTTCTACTAGGAATTAATCTCCATTCTCTTAAGGCTGCTTTCTTCCTCACCTCTTTAATTTCAGTGTTTCAGAAGTGACATAGCACTTACTGGATACAGCACAGCACTGTATCTGACAAGCTTTAATTTGGAAAAAAAATTAAAAGTTTGGAGACGGGGAGAATTATCTGCTGTAATACCTTGCCCCTACTGAAGATGCCACCATCATTGTCACCACCAGCCAACTGAATCAGTGCAAAATAAATCACTGTCTGCAGGTTGAACAAAAAGAAACAACCCCCCATGGAAAAAGATCATCTGCTTTGTGCTTAACTTTATGCCATGTAGGCAACAGGAAACAATTCCGTTTTAACTGTGCCAACTCTGATAGAATGCATGGGTTAAACTGCATCATAGTCACACCCCAAGAGCCTTGAGGAGCATCAAAGAGGAAGCTTTTAATTGCATCCTATTTTAATTATTCAAGTATAGCTTCAATGAACCAAATTTTTTACATTCCACCTTCCCACAAATGTTTGAATCTATATTTCAGAAGATACCAATAGATAGCAATATATTTAAAAACTCTGTACTCAGTAAAGCTTCTTAGTCTTTCTTCAACATGCCACAAGACTTTTAATTCTGTATCATCTATCTACCCATCACCATCTAAATATAACACTCATAATTTCAATTTGCATACCGGTAGTAGTTTTAAGTTTCCTTTTCATTGCTACACCAATGCAGCAGATCTACTGCATGACAGAGAATTAAGCTACAATGTTTGCCACTGTGCCTTCTGAGAACTAAACCTCACTGGAAGAGGACTCTATTTACCCGACCTTGAATGCATATGAAAACTTGGCACACGTTTAAATTACGCTTTTCACTGACAGAAGTGGCAGCGGGCACCATGTCTGTAAAAGCCTGATACACTCAGAACTGGAACTGAATTGCAGCATTAAAAAAAAAATCAGTTTCAGTATTACATATACAGTATATTTTTAAAACTCATATGAGGACTTTAGGATCTTGCACTGCAAGTCTTTCCTGAAGGCTACGTTAGGCTTGGTGGCAAGTGGAGGGAAGGCAAGCACCGCTGGCGCTGGGGTTCAAGGAGGCCCCGCGGGGCTTCCCCCCCCCCGAGAGCCGTGTTGACACACCACCCCAGAGGAGAGCGGCTCCCCAGCAGGGCTCGAGAGGAAACAGGTCGGCCGCGCACCCGGCGCTCGCCAGGCCCGCTGCGCTCGCCACCTGCTGCCGCTCCTCTTCCTCCGTTTGCGGCTAAAGGGCCTTCCGCTCCTTCCCCGCCTCTCGCGCCCGGCCCCCAGCCACCAGCGCGGGGGTTTTGCCTCAGGTTGCCCGCGCTGTGACGTTTCCCGACGAGCAGCTCGAGGCGCGCGCGGGGGGGGGTTCCTGTGTGGGGGAGGCTGGAGGGACCGCGAGCGTGGCGGCACTAGCAGCTTCCCCTTTCGGCTCAGGAAGGGCTTAACGCGGGTCAGCGGCAGGGCGCGCAGTCCCTGACCCGAGGAGGCGGCGCAGGACACCCGGCCGACTCCTAGTCGCTGCCCCAGGGCCAGCTGAAAGGGGCGAGGCGGGGGGCTTCTCTCCCGGTTTCCAAGCGAGCGGCATGACCCCCGGCGCCCCGGCACCTCGGGCGCCCCTGTGGCTCCTTCTGCTCCTGCCTTCCGCCGTGGTGCCTTCCAGGCTCAACATCCCCAAAGTGCTGCTGCCCTTCTCGCGGAGCACCCGGATTAATTTCACCCTGGAGGCGAGCGAAGGCTGCTACCGCTGGTGAGTGAGCGGGAACGCGTGAAAGGCTGGGACGCGCCGGGCCCGGCTATGACTGTGGTGCTGTCCTTCAAATAATGGGCAAGTAATTGAGGTGGTGCTCCCTCAGAGTCTTACAGAATCTGGTGGACAAGCTGAGGGGAAAGAGAAAGAATGTGGAAGTGTCCATATTTAGGGATCAGAGCAAATCTGGAAAGTTTTGTTCACTGGATCAGGTTGAACAGAGATACCATGATATACATTTCCTGAACAGAGAAACTGATCTTTTAGTTGCATACTATTGTTTTGTGTTATGCATTCCTGTTTCTACTGAGCTTGTACTTTGGAAAATTCCAATTAGAAGTATAAAAGAGTATTTTGCTGCTTCAGCCCCCCCCCACACACACACACATCGCACTTTCCCGGGCCTCTGTAGCGTGACAGGAGAAGCAGCGGAGGTTGAACTTGAACCTTTGCAGCGCCCCTGTCAGGCAGAAGGACGCGTCTCGGGTGACCTGGGAAAGGGGGTGTTGGGTGCGGGGACCGGGCC